TGAGTCAAATGTTTTATAATTTTATCATTAGATTACAGTAAAATCAGGCCATATTTCTAATCATTTTTGAGTCAAATGTTTTATAATTTTATCATTAGATTACAGTAAAATCAGGCCATATTTCTAATCATTTTTGAGTCAAATGTTTTATAATTTTATCATTAGATTACAGTAAAATCAAACCACATTTCTAATCATTTTTGAGTGATGCATTTCTTTTTTTTTCTAAAAATAAGTCCCAAAAAGTTAATCAACTGCAAAATATGTTTTTTTATTACGAGTCATCATTTCAAATTTTTTACTATCTGTGTGACTCAAGTCAGATACGTTGTAGATAATTAATTCAAACTTTACCTCATTTAAGTCTGGTATTCCTCTTTTAAAAAACTTTCCTTTCTCCTGTTGACCAGTTTTCTTGTTTTCTTTACCTTTTAAACGATGTTTGCTATCTCGGCCAAAAACTATGACATCCCATAATTTTAGCCAATGAAGAAGTGTACGATTTATTCCCTAAAAATAATCCAAATATCAGAAATACGCTAGAACTGAACAAGACAAAACATTTTTATAAGCAGCACTAATTTTATCTGTATTGACCAGCAGGTTTAAAAAAAAAAAGATAAAATTTTTAACAGTAAAATTCTAAAAGTTTAGTCTAAACCACACAAAGCATCAGAAGAAAGGTTGTATAGTTGCTAACTCAGTTGGATCAAAGTTTGTTAACAGACATTGTTTATCAACACAACATTCTGAAGCATGAAGACCTGATGAAACTAATAAAAAACCTACAGGAATTAAAACCTCCAGAAAATGAAAATTAACAATATTAATAAAAATTATGTGTCATAATTGTTGTAGGCTATATTTTTCATGTTCTAGCTTAGATATTAGCTAGAGGGTGCATGATGTTACAATCAAGGAGGTTTATAAAGTAGTCCTAGAATACCTAAAATGTTAATGAATATTAGTGATCGAGATAATTTGCAAAGTGTCTAGAAAGAAGGGTACATTAAAAGTACAGGAAGCAGTGAAGCATTAAATCAATTTTCAGTTGTTGACTGCCAATAATTCAGTGAAGTATTTAGTTTCACTGAGGTATTTGCATCAGTGTTAATTATCACATATATTTAGTTATTCAATCGTTTAGTCATGGAGTTGTAGAATTAAGTTTATTTGTGGCTAACAAACTGCAGCGAGTGTCTTATGCCAGTGATTTCCAATAAGTTTCACTCCATTTACTGTCAAAATTTTTAAAACCATAAGAAGTAAACAAGCCTAAACTGTTATTTCCTACTTTAGTTTGAAGTAAGGGTTACAAGGTTCGTTTATTTTACAATAACTACGAAAGAGTCAACATTTTTCACCTATTCCTAACAAATGTAGAAAATAAGAATTTGACGGAAATCAAATCCTTCACAACTTTTTTTCCATTTTTCTTCCCCCCTGGATATTTTTATGACCGGCACTAGTCTACAAACCAGCAGTTGGGAGCCAATCTATGAATCAGTTAACACACATTTAACAGAAATCTTGAATATCTATGAAAGCTTTGAAGCATAAAATATTTGTATATTAGTACAGTATATTAGATTTTCAGTAAAAGTAGTAACGACAACTATAACAGATTCATTAGGCACAACAACGGACTTAAACTGATAAAAGTATGTATATATTAGGTCGTCAAGAAATTAATGTCGTGTTTTGGAACACTTTCATTAACCACCCCCCAAAAACCTGCATTACATATAATAGTTAAACGAACCACCTAAACATCATGTTAATGTAACCTATATAATGTGTAAAGT